TTCTGGATCAGTCAGATTCTCACAGGCTAAGCTTGTTTATGGGACAGCACTAAGCAAAGTTAATGATTATTTGTTTTTGGCAAGGAGAGGTGCAGCTTGCTCTTCATCTTCACCCACTTCTGGGAGACTCCAGGGACTCTGGACCCCAAATGAATGGTACTTGCCCAGCTTTGGTTGACCTAGACAGAGAAGAGAATCAGGCCACCACTTCTCAACTTGGCAGTTTGGTGACTTCTGATAAGACCCCTTTTCTTGATAACAGTGTTTCACATATCATGTGATCACAGCTCTTCCAGCTGTGACATCAAGTGAGGCAGTGCAGAGGGGAAGTAATTTAGCCAGAAGGCGGAACTAAATTCTACCTGTTTCATGGGTGCTATAGACTGGGGAAGGGAAGTGACTCCTGGAGAACTTGTTAAACTTAAGATTGATCTGTCACAGTAACTCCAAATCATCCTGATGGGCTTATTAGGACTTGGGCTCAGTGGGCTACCCAGCCCTAAACTTATTTTGATTTGTTTTGGAGTCATGGTCTCTGTAGCCCAGGCTGGCCTTAAACTGGGGAGCCATCCTCCTGCCTGAGTCTGGAAAGTGTTGGGATTATAAGTGTGAGCTACCGGCCTGGCTTTGATTTATTTCTTCTTGGAGAACTATGATCTGGGAGGCTGACCTAACCTGAGAATTGCACCACTCTTAAGGGCCCTGGTGTAGGTGTATCATCTACTGCACCCAATATGGAGGACAGCAAAATTAACCTTTCTTGGTGTGACTATGCACTGCAGTGAGTTCTGCTCTGTTTCTTTACTCCACTCAGGCTTACCAGAGATCACCTGGCTTTAGCTATAAGAAAACTAAGCTTGCTGGGTGTGGTGGCACACGCTTTTAATCCCAGCACTCTGGAGACAGAGGCAGGTGGATCTCTGTGGGTTCAAGGCCAGCCTAGTCTACACAGTGAGTTCCAGGCCAGCTGGGGCTACTGGGAGACCCTGTCTCAAAAAGACCAAAAAATATACTAAGCTTGTTGCCTGCCGTGTGCTTAGCACCCAAGTAACAAATAAATACTCATTAAATGAATGTTGCCTGGAGTGTCCCTGAGCATAGCTGTCTTCTATCCCTTTACTCCAAAGCTGACTACATCCCTTTGGTCTTGTTTTAATTATTACTGATGAAAAGCCTCCCAAAACCACTAGTAAAAGGTGCAAAGTTGGGCTTGAAGGATTGGGCATCTTCTGGAATCCAGTGTGAATATCTGTATGTTTAGCTCAACACCCTCTCCCCTTAACTGGAAGTGGTCAGGGAAGTAATTTCATATAGCAATTGGAGTTATATATGTACTACTTTGTTAAGATGAGTGGTGGGAGGGTAGAAAGTCAATCTAAGGAAGTGTGTAACTTATAAGAACTGGGAACATAATGGGATGTGGATTAGGCACAAGACAGGAGGAAGAAGTTGGAAATCCTCACGATCAAGTGCACAATAGTGGATGACCCAGGTTTCCTCCTGACCCATATAGCCTCAGCACCTAGAAGCTGTAACAAGGCTTGAGGAATAACTGGAGATGGCTGACTATGGGATCGTTCCCCAAATCTGCTAAGTTTTTGCTGAAACAGCAAAAAAGATGATTGCTTTCCCTTGAGTGAATACGCCTGCCAGCTTCTTCCTTGGCTCCCTCTCTTGGAGGAAGAAGCTGAGACTGAAATGTTAAAAACAAAAACAGGGCGGGACATTGTGGCACACGCCTTTAATCCCAGCAGGCAGATCTCTTGTGAGTTCAAGGCCAGCCTGGTCTACAATAGTGAGTTCCAGGACAGCTGGGGCTACAGGGAGACCCTGTCTCAAAAACACCAAAGAAACCCCAAAAAAACCAAAAATCAAAAATACCACTAGGGGCTGGAGAGATGGCACAGTGGTTAAGAGTACCGATTGCTCTTGCAGAGGACCCGGGTTCGATTCCTAGCACCTACATGGCGGCTACGAACCATCCTTAACTCCAGTTCCAAGGGAATCTGAAGCCCTTTTCTGACCTCCACGGCATTGCACGACACAGGTGCACTTACATACATGCAGGCGATACATTCATACACATAAAATAATAAAATATTCAAAAAAAACTTTTTTTTAAAAAATTTATCTTTTTGAGACAGGGTCTCCAGTTGCTGTCCTGGAACTCACTATGTAGACCAGGTTGGCCTTGAACTCACAGAGATCTGCCTGCCTCTGCCTCCCAAGTGCACTGCCTCCCAGTGTACCACCACACCTGGCCATTTCCTTCTACTTTTCATACCCCCTCCTTATAAGTGTCCCCAACCCCACTGTCCATCCCAACTTTGGGAAAACTTTGGTTGATGAGAAATTCTGGTTGACCATTTAAGAACAACAGGCACAAAAAGCCACCTTTCTAAATCCTTGCTTTTGCCTAACATCCCCTGGCTGCTGTCCCCATATGACCCAAATAAACAGATGATCATGTGAAGCCAGTAAGGCTGTTTGTTTTAAATAGCAAGCATCTCCACTAAGCTCTGGAGCAGATGGGGTATTGGGGGCAAGGGAGAGGCCAGCATTCAAGTCAGTGTTCACATTGCCCATCTTCTGTTTCCTCACCCCTGAAAGACAAAGTGTCTTCAAAATACCCCTCAGAAAGGTGATTTCTTATTGATACTGAACTGGTCACTCATAAAAATAGAACTGGACTTCATCTTCTAGAACAGACTCCAGATCTGAGTGCAGTGGCCACCTGAGGAAGGCAGAGAGGGACAAGCAAAATGGTAACATCTCAGGTTACAGTTGATAATGTTCTTTAGCCTTCTACCTGGTGTTTGTGTATCACCTCTAAACCTCCCATTTTCTTTAGTTGTACAGAGTAGGCCAGGCCCATCCATATCCAAAACAGGTAGCCAATACCTGGAGGAAATCATGTTATGGCCAGCAACTTCTACAGTCTTCCTAGGAAACGGGCACTCGGTGCAGAGAACTGGGCTGTGCTGTTCTGCTCTCCTTTGCTCCCTCATCATAAGCAAGGTCAGTGATGCCCAGACATTTGTGTAAGGGCTGTTTTGTGCTTAGCTGCACATCTAGGACATTCAATATGCCAAGATCAGCAGCTAAATTCACAAGGTTCTTAATTTCCAGGACCTCCTGTATAAGATGTCTTTATGACATCCTCAAAGGAAGGAAATAAAGCTAGCAAATCTTGTTTCTTCTACGCCCCTGCCTGTTCTCCAGCTAGTCTGTAAAGTAGGCACATAAACCTCTGATGGCACCATGTGGATGAGATGGATTGGCAGGGTGGCCTGCCTCTGTAGTTTTTTTTTTTTTCCCCCCTCGGTGTCTTTGAGACAGGGTCTCCCTGTAGCCCCAGGTGGCCTGGAAACTCACTATTTAGACCAGGCTGGCTTTGAATGCCTCTGGTCTTACAACTAAGGCTTGCTTCCTGGCCTCCTGAGCTGGAACCCAGGATCCTGAAACCTGTCTCCACTCTCCCTGCACTGGTTAACCAAGGAGCTTAAGGCCATTAACAGGCTGTGTTCTATGCTCAGAACATGGAACAACAGAACTGGATCTGCCCTGGTGTGCTGGGAATATATGCTGGCAGTCGACTGGTGCCTTTCATTACCTACCAGTGGACACTAGGCTAGCCTCCACGAAAGCAGCAGAGCAACAGGGTTGGGTTCCAGGCATATAAATTTCTGTTTCCCCCATCAGTCTTATGTCAAGTGTTCAGACCCTTCCTGAACAGCAGTTTGATAAGTCTGTATGTGACTGGAGGTGAGGGGAGTTTTGCCTTCAGAGTTGCTCATGGGGTTACCTACTCATGGCTCAAAGATCAGCCGAATGGTCTTAGACCAAGTTCTTTCTCTTGGGCCTGTTTTCTTATCTGTAAACTGCACGAATTTGGGCAACCTGACTTCAAAAGTTCAACTTTGCCCAGAGGCGCTCCAAGGCAGTAGGGCCAGGCTAGAAAAGAGGAGGAGGGCAGGCGCGCAGCGGGGAGAGCACGGTTCAAGTTAAACGCATCGACCCCGCCCCGCGCCCCACCAACTGCCATTGCGGTCCTGCCCGCCGGCAGCGCGGCTTCCGCCCTCCACGTTGTTGTTCCTGATTTGGACCACGCCTCCTTGGCCTGTGAACGCCTTCCCTTGACCGCTGCCGTCTGGGCCCCAGAACTACCGGTGTCCTCTAGAGTGGCTCAGTCTCCACCCACGTCAGACACGAGTGGACAAAGAATTTAGGGGAAGGAAAGAGAAAAACTTGGTTTTAAACGGGCTGGTGGTGAAGAGTACAGGATAGGCTTGAGCCCGACTGCGGAATTCCCCTCTAGGTGTCTCAACCCAGTGGCCCCATCCGCACCCGCTAATACGACCCTGCAGACACTGGCCCTTTAAACGGAAGGCTGGCAGCGCGGGGTGTCCATGTGGAGCTGCTCCATGCCGTGTTGTCCTGCCCGGTCATTGGCCCGAGGCCGGGTGACGTAGCCTAATAGGATGCGAACGCACTGCGGGGGGAGGATCGGAGACAAAATCCGGAACAGGATCCTCACCGTTCCATCTGTCTTTCCTCCGGCTGCCAGCAGCCTGCAGCTCCGCCCAAGGGGCGGATCCCAGGGGGAATTGCGACAGACAGGGCGGTTGTGGGATTTAGGTCGCTTTTCGTGCGAGTGGAGACCCAAAGTTCCGACCGTAGGTCGCCCTACGTTATCCCTGTCTCAGCTAACCTACGCCCTGGACTTCCATTCCTTCTTTCATCATGACTGATCTCATCGTGAATGACCCCAGCACGCACTCCTCGTTCAACTTGTAGCTGACTACTGAGGCGGGGAGGGGCGAGGCGGGAGAACGGAAATACAGCGCGCAAACCTGGCTCTCTCTCATCCCCACCCAGGCCACGTGTGCGCGCGCGCGCCCGCGGTCTTTCTGGTGGGCGGGGCTACCCCTCGCGCGACCCCGCCCCTCCCTTCCTGAGATGCCGCGGCCCAGCGGGCGGGGGCTCCGGTCCGGGCTTTGGCTGCCGCCCCGGTGTAGTAGCGGGGGCGGCGGCCGGGGGCAGCGCGGCTCCTTCCCTTGTTGTGTGTGTCGGTGCCTCCTCGCCATCTTGTTGCAAAGCCCTTTCTTGTCGGCGGGACTCCCGGGGGCCGCGAGGCGGGAGGCATCAGAAGGGAGGAAGAGGAGGAGGGAAGAAAGAAGGCAGTGCCGCCTTTTTTTTTGCCGCAATTTTTTTTTAATTTGCAAATTTCTATTTTGCAAATATTTTGGGAGACATTGATTTTGCTGCCCGTGCTCCCCCGTTCTTTCTTGAGGAGTGCGCTGCGCCGCCCAGCCCTGTCGCCCCCCGGAGGTGATCCTTCCCTCCTGCCCGCCCGCCAGCCTGACCTGTGCCCGGCTCGCGGGCCGCAGCCTCGGCCGCGGCGCGCCCCCGGCCGCTCTCGGCGCGATGAGCATAGAGACGCTACTGGAGGCGGCCCGCTTCCTGGAATGGCAAGCGCAGCAACAACAGAGAGCACGTGGTGAGCGGCCGGGCTGGGCCCCTGGGGCACTGGGCAACGGGAGGCGAGTGACCCCAGCCTCTGAACCCACTGGAAACCTCAGGAAACGACCTAAAAAGCTGGGCAGCGCAAGACCTCCCCGCAAGAGCCGCGGTCTCAGAGGAATGATGCGGGCAATGAAAATAATTAATGAATTCATTAATATGCAGCGAGGGACCCGGCTTCTGCGGGCGTCACCCTAAGCTGCCTGGCACCCCTTGTGCACCTTCCGTGGGGGGCTCCTTTGGCGTGGGTCGGCGGCGCCCTCGGTAGCGTTGGCGATGTGTGAACCGGGGGATGGGGTGAAGGATGGTGTTGCGTGGGAGTGGCAGACCCGCATGTGCGTGCGTGTGTGCACGGGGCTGTGTCGATGGGAGCCTGGGGAGAGCGGATGAACGGACGTGTACACGGGCGTGTGTACTGCACACGAGTGGGCGTGTGCGTAACGGTGGGGGTGGGGAATACTCTACGCGGAACAGCTCTCCGGATTCCCTGGCCCTGGGTAGGAGGGTGCGGGGTGCGCTCCCGGCAGATCTACGCGCTACTTGGGGCGGAGGCGGCCTTTGCAGAATGAAATGACATCGCGTGTCTTATGATCCTGGCCAGCCCCGCCTGACCCCGCCTCCTGAAGCAGGGCTGGGTCGCTCGTTTGGGTTGGGTTGAGAGCCTCGCTGATTGGGTGCATGCGACTGTCCCGCGGGTCGCTGGGGGCAGCCACTAGGCCCCGCTCGCTGTGCCCGCTTTAGCTGGTGTGGAATGTGGCGTGTCTGCGCGTTCCAAACCCGCTCTTGGCTGGAATGTTGCGCGTGCTTGCGCCCCAAGCCCGTTGGTTACACCGGGTGGTGACGTGGACCGGCCCCGCCCCCGACCACGTGCACCGGGGGACACTCCCGCTGGGGACAGCGGAGCCGCGCCCCTCCTCACCGCCTCGCGCTCGGCTGGGGGCGGGGCTTGGGCGGGGCGGGCGCTGGGCCTTGCGCCGGGTTGGGGCCCGGGCCTGGTCTCTGGACATTTCCTAGGAAGAGCCTTTGCCCTGGGAAGGAGGAGCCTCGCCTCGGCTTTTGCCTCAACATTGGGGTTTTGATCCTGTGGGGAGGGAAACCCTCAGAATCTCAGGATGACATTTGGAATTCGTATCTCCCCACTGACCTCCCCCAACGATTTCCCCAGGCCTTTCTGACGACACTTCGGCCAGATTAGAATGAGCCACCCCGGGAAAGGCAAACTTTGTCGCGCCCTCAGAGAGAGTGGAAGAGGGGATTAAGATCCTATCACCACCAGCCTTAACGGTGGTTCTTAGCCTTAGAGTGCTGCTGAAATAGGGGCTGAGGGGAAAGACCTCCGTTTTCCAGACTTGTGAGAACCTCTGCCCTAGAACGATGTGTGTGCAGTTCCCGGGGATTCCTGGGTCCCCTATCCGCCCAGAACCCTTCCGTCGGCCTGGTTGTCGTTGAGAGACAGCTTCGCTCTCCTTTCCTTTCTGCCTATTGTTGCTTCAATGATGAGTCATGCAGGAGGTAGTAATGTGGTGTGTGCGTGTGTGTATGTACGCGCGTGTGTGTGTGTGTGTGTCTGTGTGTGCGCGCCCGCCGCCCGCCTGCAGTTTTTGCTGCTGCCTCGCATAGGGCGGAAGCCGCGGTAGCCGGTCAGGGGTGGAGGAGCTGCAGGTCTGCAGGCCTAGTCAGACCGATCAGCCTCTCAAGGTCAAGAGTCACTGGAGATGTCCGAGACCCAGATGCTTGTGTTTTGCAGAACTGATGCTCTAGGACGTCAGCTCACAAGCTCCTCCCCCTGTCTTTGGGGTCCAGAGTAGAGTCAAGCAATGGGCAGTGCTGGTGGTAACCAGAATGCCCCGTGTGCGGTTCCAGTGGTGAAAGGGAGGTCGCACAGGTTTTGAAGTCATGGGAATCACTTGCTGCTACCGTCAACACAATGCAGTTCAGGAATGCCGATTATATCTCCAATGCTTAGCAGGCACTATGCTAGTAGTGGTGAACACCATTGATCCTACTCTTGCCTCCAGGAAACTCTTATTTAACCCTTATCTTACCTGAAGGCTTTTCTAGCCATATGGGGAAGGGGAGAAGACCTTCACTGTCATCCAACCTTGCTCAGTTAACCAGAGGCTGACCAGAGAGGGAGGGGAATGGTGGATGCAGTTCTACAAAGGAAGCTGGGAAAAGCTTCTCTCCTAAGAAATTGCAGAGCTCTGTCCTTCCTCCAGATGTTGAGAACTGGGGAGAAGCTAAGTTTAGCTCCCTGGTCATAGCTTCTTGAAGAATCAGAGTCTTAAGAGGACGAGTGTATGCTCGAAAGCCAAATCTACTGCAAGAACGCATATAGAGATGACCAGACCTGGTTCCAGGAGTTTAAGGTCCATAGCTGACACAAACCTGCTGACCAGAACTGCTCTTTTGGGATTTATAACTGATGACCAACGCTAAACAGGGATTCACTCTTCCTTGACCCTCAAGGCCAAGTCTGGCCTAGAGCAGTTTGCTCACGTGATGAACCTGAGGCTCTGATGCACATGTGAGCAAATGTGAGAGAAGAAAAGAAAGGGCCAGGCCATGCAAGTGCTGAGGAGGGTCTGGCCGATGCTCTTCTATTCTGACTGGGGGGAGCTGGCTGATGTGTTCCAAGGTGCCTTACAGTGTCTTGCTTGGGGCCTACCTCATGTGCCAAGCTCCTTGGTAGCATATGGAAGCGTAGAACTGCAGTCACACTCAGGTGACAGAGCGTGGACCCCTCAACTTGCATCCCTGTGCTTACTAAATCTCTGGGCTACAGAACCTTGAAACGATTGTAGGCAGCACGAGGCCTGTGTTCTCCCAGCCCAGAGGGTCATGCTAAATTTCCTAGGGTCAGTGTTCCGGTGGAGCCCAGGGAAGGTGAGAGGAGAGAGGGAGTGCACCTGTGAGTGCGGACAGACTTTGAAACAGCCTAAACACAGTTTGCTCTTACTGGAGATCCTGGCACCAGCAAGTGGTCTTGGCCCTCCAGTACACCTGGGAGGGGGGGTCACTGTGGGTGAGAAATGAGTCAGCCAGGGCAATAGGCAGGAAGCTTTGGTGGGCTGGCTCAGTCCCTGAGCAGCCTTTGATGCAGTCTACTATGCTGGGCAAGGTGTGATGGAGTTTTGCTGTTTAGCAGTCCTTCCTAGTACCTGGAAAGCATTTTTGCTTGGTGGCTCCGGAAGAGAGGGTAGATTGCCCGCTCCTAAGGGTAGGAAGAGGATGCCAGCTCAGCTCCTAAGGGAGCTAGCTTTAGATTTGCTTTAAAATAGAGGCTTTTTGGAGCTGGGAAGAGGGCTCAGAGGTAAAGAGAGCTCCCAGCTCTTCAGAGCACCTGAGTTCAGTTTCCAGTACCCACAGGTGACTCACAACTGCCTAGAACTTCAGTTCCAGGAAACCTAACACCCTCTTACGGTCCCTGCAAGCAACTGCACACATGGCATACACAAATAAAAATAAAAATAAAAATTGGGGCTGGAGAGATGGCTCAGTGGTTAAGAACACTGGCTGTTCTTGCAGAA